TGAAAAATTAAAAAAAAATTGGACTGATAAATTTGCTGTTAAATTAAAAATTACAATAGTGTAATGTAAGCAATAAAATTTTCAAAAGGTACTCAAGTTAAAATGAATAAATCTTATAACTATTAATATCAATCCATAAAAAAATTTCGAAACCATATAAATTACTGGCTTTATGCAAGTCAAAACTGAAATATTTATAACCGGGAAAAATATTTGTGTTTTCTTAAGACTTACTACAGAACCTCCTAATCTTTTGGTTTAAATATAACAAAAACAAATTTGTTTATGCCACGCGTGATAATCTGGAATTCTATTAAAAGAGATAATCATCAAATTAGGACATGTAATTAATTATTATTGTGCTCTATTAAAAAATCAAAAAATATTGTCAGTTGCTGGCTTTTATTTGCACTAATAATATTCCTTATTTATGTTCTGTATCGAATCCTTTGTGTCACTTCAATATCCAGAAATCACAATATTCCATTTCGTCATACTCTCGCAGGAAACCATGTAACTTTCAATCGAAATCAAAGACGCAAGGAATATTAAGCTTTTTATTAAAATATAATAGCATATGCCCCAAATACATTTTGACATGAGATTGAGTTAAAGAGTAAACTCTATAGTTTATTTTTCAATGACTGGGTACGATTAATCAAACCCACCAAATTTTAAGCCACACACAGAGTGTCCCAATACTTTCATTAGCCTCATCCGAACACACATACAGAATTTTTACAAACTTTTTCAAGAAAACGTACCCAAAACCCTTCTCCGTCGACCCACTCCGTATTTTTGTAAATTATCTGCCCATAGGCGCAGGTGAAAGATTGTAATGTAACAATGATAATCTGCTAATTAATTTTTCTTGTTATGTCAGCACGCCAATGAACTAACTATAATAAATACATTCTGACACATTAATGTGTATACCCTGGGATTAAAAACGTTCCTACAGATGGCGACAGAACTCCTCACTGGTTGATGGAAACCCGTCATCTAATCTTTTCTTACAGGCTTTTTGAAGCTTCTAATGGTTGGGAAAATTATTGTATTTTTTTTTAAATTTTTGCCGTCAGTTTTAATGATTTCACAGAATCCGTGAAAATGACTTAAAAAGTGGACTCGAGGGGCACAAATAAATAGATACTGATATATTATCGGAGATTCAAAAACTAATTAGAAACTGAAACAGATTCAACCTTATCGATTGATTTACTGCTTACAACCTTCAATATTAAAAAGACTACCTAATAAAAAAGCTTGGTTCCTTCTTTCAAATGGGCTCACATAATGTATCAATCGCATTTTTATTAACTGAAGCAATGCTTGCTAGAAGAAGCTGCTGCCGTTTATATAGGGTGGCTCACTTAAAACTTGCAACCCAGGTTATCTCTCTTATTCAGGGATTCTAATCAGGCGCACTCCCATATTTTTTTGTTTTGTTCTGTTTTCATACAATTTCAAGTTGATTGTCTAAGCTAAGAAGTCTAGAGGATTTCATTTGTAGATTTACTTCTATATGAAGAATGGAATAAGTACTGGCTTAAAATGGAGTACTGATGAGAGGATATTGATATAAAACCCTATTTTTTAATCAAATTTCGAAAAAAAAATCAGTCTTCAACAAGAACCAGAAACAAACAATAAATTGGAACAATTGGGAAATAAAACAATTATGTAAGCCTCTTTATTGCTCTTGGAAAAGGTATACTTATTCCAATGTAAAGCTAAAAGTAAACTATGTTTTTAAAGATAAAATGTCTACTCCTAATCACCAACAAAATCTTATTTATATTTTTTGTACCCCTTGTGATTTGTGCACATCTGCCTACGCGGCCTATAGCTTGCTGTGGCCCTCGTTCTTAAAATATACGTCTATTATAGTTCAACAACATTCGAATATTTACGGTGCACAACTTGCCGAATTGGCATATGAGGGCTCACGTGCAATATTGTCTATAGTGTAAACTTTGCTATAGTATATTCTAAAAGGTAGGCTTCATGAGCAAATTTTTAAACTATAAGGTACCTATTTTAAAAAATCTTATTGTGTGATTTTGTCCCAACTCAAGCCCGTATTACATCTGTGTATTTTTCCGTGTATTGTATTTCTTCATGTAGTTCAGGATGCCAAAATTATTTTGTTTTTCATAATGCTGATTTATGTTGCGTTTTTTGGTTGTCACCCTGACCTACATGAAGAAATTCACGGAAAAATACATAGATGTAATGCGGGCTTCAGACACTTAAATAAAAATTATAACAAAAGGCAGCAAATATGGCATAGGTAAATCCTCATTCTGGGCAAGTTTAAATAATTAAGCAAAATAAATCGATAATAATAAGAACGTATTTTTTTGCATTTTTCTAGGAGACAGGAAGCTCATAACACAAAAAAGTTAGTTATTTGTGTAGTATTTTTACTTGTCAGATAAATTGCGGGTTTCGAACACTTCGTAACACGAAGATTCTTGCGTTTTCCGATAGTTTATGAAAAAAGAACTAGGTGGAAGCGATGTGTATGTGGTGCTTATAGCCCGCTATACCAATCGGGGGGCGTTAGTGTTGAATATTTTTTCAGAATATTTGTAACAAGATATTATTTTTTTTTAACCGATCGTCTTTGAGGAGTCATTCACGAAAATGACCGTGCCATACCGTTCCGATGGTTCCAAGTAGTCGCCATACCGCCCCAGAGACGTAGATTTCTTTAATATTGCTAAACGTTTTGTAATGCCGGGCATACAAATTGGCCATACTTACAAATGACCAACTTTTGTGTTATGAGCTTTTTCAAGAGCAAGTTGTTCGGTTCGAATTGCAATGGAAGCTGATGCCGATCTTCCATGAGCTGCTTGCTATAGAGCAACACAAATAGCAACTGATTTTTAAAATTAGAAAAATAACTTAATAGCACGGGAAAGGGAGGTTTATTATATTTTATTCCGAAAGCTTATCGAATAAAGTCTGGCAAATATAAATTGGCCGACGGAAAGAATGCCAACAAAAATTTGACAGGTGCGTCAACTCAAACAGGCTTTATTAAAACGATCAAACGAGTCAATGTTATTAATCATAGGGCATCACCCCCTTTTTTGTAAGAAGTTTTAACTTATCTGCATCTAGTCCGCTGAACTGTGACCTTAGGTTGGGATGTTCAGGTTAATTTTATGCTAGTTTATCCAACGAAGAATTCATAAAGCGGAAACTATCTATGAATCGAAATTGAATGGGGTAGGCATCAATGTGTTTGGTGAATGATATGTATTTTTCCTTTGTTATTGGCAACAAATCAATGGATCCTTTCATTTTGTTAGCTATGTCCCCTTGACAGATCATCAATAAGGCGATTGGCTTCATATGATTGAAATCCATTATGGCGACCTTCATAAAAACAAGTTTGACAAGGGCTGCATTCGGGAACCTGTTGTTAGTGTGGAAATTATTTCAGGGAGGGGGGGGGGGCAGACACACTTCGGTGTGCAAATCTAGCTCTAGCATTTTGAACGGTGACCGAAAGGTTTGTATAGTTTGTGGCTTGTTTTTTTTTTTAAATTAAATTGAATTGACAGTCGACAGAAGAAGAGATGGTAGGTCTGTTTTTACACAAATCACAAACCAGTCAGAGCGTTTTTGATTGGTGCAAATCGCCAACAAACAGTTTTCTGACTATTTTCAACCCGATGAAATTCGTTCTGACTGGTTTGTGATTTCTGTAAGAACAGACCTGTCATGTTTCCTCAAAATGTCAGTGTCATATATGTGAGCTTAAATTTTACTCTAGTCGGGACTAGAGTGTTCGGTGCGCGTACGTGACAACCAGCCTTCCGAACGCCGAAAACCGTGTGATTTTTATCCAAACTTCGCCTTTCCGAACGGCAGCTCTGTGCTTTTTATACGACACACCAGGTTCTCGAACGCAATCAAGGTTCACGATACAACCCCTTCGCCCCTCAGACGTCGCCGGCAAAATTAAAATTGCCAGACTATATGTATATACTTTACGATCTAGAATCAACTGTCCTTAATCGAACGCAATGCAAAATGGTGGCGATTCACCGATTGCTTATTATTTGATTTCTTTGGAGGAAAGGTTCCTTAGATCAATACCTTAATGAAACTTGGCATATGGGCAATAGGCGTAAAAAAAAAAATAATACATTAGAGGGTATCTTGCTGGTGTACTTCTGCGCTACCAAAATATTCCGCCTTTTTTTTTTTGGTGCTACGCGAGAATTTTAATAGAAGTGTTTCTTCCAGACCCTTCAATCTGGAGGAAATATTTGAAGGTGTCTATCCCTAAATTTGTTCTGCCGCCTTAGTTCAAATAGAAAAAATAATAATTTCTGTCTTACTCTTAGCCCTGAGCAATCAACTTAAAATTGAAGTTTGTTTTGGTACTATAATACCAGATAATGCTTCAAAAATTAATATTTGACTTCGTATACAAAATTAACCTGAATTATAGTTACCTAAGTAGGTACCTATCTAACTAAAATCAAAATTCAAGCACCATGAAAATATCAAATTATATTTGATGAAATTTCTTAAACTTTAAAAAATAATTAAAAAATTGAGTGACGGTGTGAAACAGTTTCTCAATATTTTTGAGGAATCTCTGAATGGCACCCCTCAAGATAACATAAAATAAGTTTTAATAATTTTGAATCAAAGTAAAAATATTAATCGCACAATTAAATAGATTGGCTGATAGAAATGATAAGGACAGGGCTGGTAATTACCTTAACTGCAAACTGAGAATTCATGTTCATTTACTAAAAATATTTTGGCAGAAAAGATACAATACCTACATATTATTATATGTAAATCATAGTCACTAGCTCAATGGAAAAACCAAGAAGATCGAACTATTCAATATTTACTCAGCAGGAAAAGGTTATAATTGAATAAGAACACCTAACATTTGGAAAATACCTATAGGTATTCAGGCATCGCCATTTTATGATATGGGAATATTGATATTGAAAACTTACCTGCATGTTGTAAATTAACAGCAAAAATCTCCAGAAACTGGAAAAATATCACTGAAACTAAGTTCTCTATCCTCATTACTGACACCATCGTCATGTTTAAACTAGAATATCTTTAATGAGCGCCACAAATTTGAAAAAAAAATACCGGCAAAATATCATATAAGTAATATATACTCGCGCTTGTATGTGCTGTGTAGGTATCTAAACCGTTTCGATACAAGTCGATATTTAAATTTAAATAGGTTGATAAAAAAAAAAACAGTGGTCTGAACCGGCAGGGACAGACCCTGTCAGCTGTTTGATATTTGATGCGAGCACGAAGCGAATGATTTGTTAACCAGGCGCACTTATTTTTATTAAAGATTGTACCTGATGATGGACGACGTTCTTATCTTTTTTAGCGGGATCTGATTTGATCTTATTATTAGCAAATAAACCGTTATCATTGCGACGATGGGGATATACTTCGATTTAAAGATAAAAAAATCCCAGTGGTACGGCAATGTTACCTCAAATTTGATGTGGATTTGTGGATTATGAAATCGTAAACATTTTTAGAGATTTTTAAAGATCAACACCTTGACAAAATTTCAAAGATTAAGAACAGCTGCATGTTTCCTGAATGCCAGGAACATGCAGAATACACAAAAAAAAATTATGTAGATATTGGCAAATTCAAAAACAAAAAACGGCAAAAAAAATTAAATATACGTGGACTCGTTTCAAGTAATGGCTGGTTTATACAACATTTGCATAGTCGTAATCATAATCATAGTCTTAGTCATAATAGTTAAAATAATATTTTCTTATGGAACCGTTTATACACAAATCATAATCATAAGCATAAGCATAACTCAAAGTTGGCAACTTTTAACTTTTATGATTGCGACTAAGACGAGATCCAAACTGCGCAAGCGCCATTATCAGCTGTTACGGAGAAAAACAATTCAAATCTGCTATTTTAAATCTGTGTGTATTTAAATTGATCTTGAATCATTCTAGAGTATTCAAAAAATTGGTCTCCATCAAGCTTCCACATGTCTTTGAATAATGTGGCGCAAAACTCAAAAATAAATAGGACAGGCCTATTACTTGTATGGTTTTCCTTTGCAGAATTTTAATTTCCACACTTTGTGAAACTTTGAAAAAGTATTAAAAGTAAATACATGAGCTCGATTCGCAAAAAGTAAACAAACTCTCCCTACAAAAAGTCGGGTTAGAGTTGATTTTATTTTATGCTTATGACATTGTATAAACGCCTCCTAAAATTGTGATTATGATTAAGACTAAGACTAAGCCTATGATTATGATTACGACTATGCAAATGTTGTATAAACCAGCCATAACTCTTGATGGATACTTAACGATTATTGGAACGCCGCTGGTCACCAAGAAAAAATAAATAATTATAATGCACTCATTAGAAGAGAGACAAACGTGGGGTGTAATAATCACCTACCAAAATCTGCTCTTACAAAATACAGTAAGGTCTACCAACACAAAAACCCTGAATATAAAGGATTTTGGAACAAAATCGAAATTTAATAAATGAAGAGATCAAAAAATTGTGAACTTAGTTTATTTTTTCTACATAAATGATTTAGTTTTTTTTTGTGAAAACCCGGTAGGTATAGGTACCTACTTGGAAATTTTGGTCGCTTGTTTCGCTTCATTTGTCTAGCCATTTAGTGGCTGGTACGTGGTACTACAACAAATTTAGATAAAATATGTATTGACGCATACATATTAACATTAACACATCGGTGGTATTAATTAGGTGCTGTTTGTGATATTTCTATCTTCTGTTCACAGCAGTTTGGTGTGCAATCTTGAGATTGTCGTTGTCTTGAGGTCACAAGACGAGACTAGATCATCAGCTTATCTTGTTTCATCTCGCGACATGACTAACCAGAATCAAAATTTCCGATTGTAATTGTAAACATGTGATTGACCTCATTGAATACTTTAGATAGAAACAAAAAAGTAACATCAAATTCCCAAATATAAAGTGGCTATATGCTGCTATCAAATTTGCGGCTTTTCAAAAGTCGTTAACATTGGAAATGTTTATGTTCTCGCGTAGGGGAAACTGGCCTAAAATGACATACCCTGAGTAAAACCTTTCACAAAAGTTGATTGTTTTTTAAGCGTTCATTTAGAGTTTAATGGGTTCCTTAGTTTATGCCGCCTCCTATCAAAAGCACCAAACATTAGAATTTCACATTTTAAAATAATGACACCCAAATTATTAAAAAACTGTGCAGTATGTCATTTCAAGCTTATACTAGGGTAAAATGACATAGGTAGTCTTTCCATAGAAAAGGTAGGTACCTGGTACTTAAACAAAAGTAAAAGTAAAAATTTACCAACCATATTTTCTGAAATTGTCATTGGTCATGGTATGTCATTTTACCCCAACAATATGTGTGTCATTTTACCCAAAATAATGATGTCCTAGAGATGGCCTCTAAAAATATTTAGCAAAAAAATAAAACAAAGATTACATTAAAATAAAGAAAAACTCTATTTGTTAAGGGCCGGTTTAATAATCTTCGGATAAACTTGCTGGTAACTATCTGCAAGATAAAATTACCGTTCTATAATTCTATTGGTCAGCGGATAACTAGCCGACCAATGGGATCACAAATTACGATTTTATCCGTCAGATTGCATACCTTAAGTTTATCAGAAGGTGAATAAATCGGCCCTATCTATACTTAGCCAACTTGGGCTTATTGGACCTCATCAATTCTTACAGCCAAACGGACAGGGTAATTACCCTATTCAAACTAAAAACAAAATATAATATAAGCTAAAAATTTGTTTGAAAGTACATTATGGTTAAGTAAATAAAATGCATGGCACCTTGTGCGGGATGGTGAGAAGCCGCCATTGATCGCCACTTTGGAAGTAATAATTAAAAAAATTAGTTTCGTTAATTTTTTTTTTATTTCAAAAGTAAATCACAAAACCAATCAAATAAAGTGTCAGAGATGTTCAAAAAATGCTAGGAAGGAACCATGCCTTCACGTATTTCGAGCCGCCATGCCACCATTTTACTGGCCTAAAACTATCCGAATTTTAACCTAGCACAAAAGAAAACTCCACTGAAATGTTTTAATCTGCCAATTCAATTGTCAAAATTTAATTAGATTTAAATATAATTTTCATACCCTAAAAACTGATGTAGATGGTCCAGGTTCGTTTGGTTCACTCTTATGATGTGACAAATTTGTTGTGCTTCAAGCACTGTGCAATTCTGTGCTTGAAGCACAAAAAATGTTCGGCTGGAACACGCGTTTGAAGTATCAATGTGCGCGAAATCTGGATTGCGTGCACAAAGTGGCAAGTTGAAAAGCTTATGTTATGTCGAGCTACAGAATTATCATCCAGGTAGGTAACATTGGATAATAACAAATTCGAGTCGCACCAGTCTTTTACCTTCTTCAAATCTGCATCCATATCAACGTTCAACAGAGTAAACTTTCCAGAAACTGGGAGTAAATCGTTGGCAGAAATGAAAAAAAAGAAGACTTCCCAGTACAGAGCTCTCTGGTATCCCAACATTGCAACATTGATGCTCATCACCGTCTTGAAATCCCTATATCATCGATCATGAGAAGTAGTAGTCAAACCACCTCAAAGCCTCACCTCTACAACCATACCACTCTAGCTTCCACAACAGAATGTCGTGATTCACACAATCAAACGGTTAGTACAAGCCCCAAAACACCGCCGCTGCTAGGTACCTCTCCACCATTCAACTGATTTCAGACAACGACACCCTCAGGAAAACTAACAATAACATCATTAATGCCATTCCTTTCTTGAATTCTGAACTGCTGGTGCGCTCAGAAGGCCATGACTTCCCAGAAAGATTGTGTAACAGGCTGGCTTTTAATGCTAGACTAGCATCATGAGATTTAGCTTCGGTGTGGATAACCTCGTTTTTTCTTCAGGTCAGGTCTGCTGCTAGAAGACTTTATTTTGCACTTGCGAGTCACGTTTGGGATATGGTTTACCGTTTTGGGGACTCCAATTTGTTGTTTATCTTAAGGTCCGGTTTGTTAGAGCAGTGCGCGACGCATAGCTCACATTCTGTGGAACGCCGCGTACGTCTGCTAAAATCAACCAAGTTTAAATTATATAAACCGGTTTGTCGGCTTGCTTTGCGCAGCAGGTTAGCGTGACATACAGCGTCAGCAGACGATGTCGACAGCCTCTCACAGCGTCTGTTGATGTTTATGTTGTCAGTTGTGTGTCGCGGTCGCGCACTGTCCTAACAAATCGTACCTTTAGATACCTCAATCATAATTATTGTACAAGTCCGTGGTTGACTGTTTGCTGACGTTAGCTGCGCTTCATTCAGAAATTTGCACCATAGACTGAGAAAATAAATATTTTTTAAAATACTTCCAGCAAACACAGGAATGAAAGTCGGGAGAGGGAGGAGGCCGACTGTAAGAACAGAGAAAAATAGTGAAAGAGTAGAAAACATTATTGGAAATATACGATCTCAAGAATCTGGATTTTTGAAAACAAACAAGAATTTGCCATTCTACACTACACATTATATATTAAATTTATTGTCATAAAGTTTATTTTCAAATACGTCATCAATTGCACAAAACTCCGTTCTGTCTCAACACCAGATACCTACCCATATTTGAAATGAGGGGATGTTTAATTTCAGGTTTAGGCCGCCCAAAATAATGTGCAAGAAAGAAAAAGAAATCTTAGTGAAGATTTTTCTAATCGAGAGAATCCACTTGGCATCTCTGCCGGTATAATTTTTGTGGATACAGAAGTGAAATCTAATTTTAATCTCTTTCAGGCAAAACAGTGCTCCATCTCACTTGATAGAATACAAGACAGTTTTTGTCTGAATATTATCCAATACATAGATAAAAAAAATGTAGCTATCTAATTGTCCAGAACTAAGACCAGTTGATGATAAGACGTGAGGAATGAGGCAACAAGTAGATACTATCAACAATAGATGAAAAAAAGTCCAGTAGTTTGATGTTTGACATACAGTTGCCTATAACTTCCTTATACACTTATTATGTGGCCCTAGCAAAATCTATATTCAGATACTCATATACAGTGTGTCCGTAAAGAAAGGGAGAGGTTCATTTAAAATTCATATCATTTTTTTTTTTGGGAAAACTCTCGGACAAGTCGATCTTAATTTTTAGTGGCTCTTTTTTTTAACTAATTTGTATTTGTACAAGGTGGACCCACAAAAGAGATATCTCATGACACTTCAATTTTTTAAATAGAATGCCATGTATATTTTGATGAATATCGATAAAGCGACAATGCATCTCGTTGCG